GCCGAGTCCTTCGGGAAAATGGAAAATACATTCCAAAGCAGGTAGGGAGCTGCGCGCTCGGGCTTTACAAGGAGGATGGCTGGGAAAGGAGCACAAAGCGCGGGGCTCTGCCCGGGCAGTGCCGCGGGAGGAGCAGCGCTCGCAGGGGCCGGCGGGGTCGGACGCTGCCGGCTCACCCCGGAGCCAGAGCAGTGTCAGGAGTGCAGATTCTTAGGAAACTTGGACACAGCACCGCTGTATATGTCTTTTCCTTGACATTCATGTTAGCTGTCACTGCTCGATGTTTTAGCTGCATGCTGACATGAGATGTGCCTCCAAACTGTCGTGTACAGTATCTGCCAGCAAGCACACAGGGGTGTAGTGCAAACTTGGGATAACGAGGTGGTCATACAATGTCAACTGAAACAATTGCTGAATTATAAATGCATCGTTGGCTCTGTTGGTACCAAATGTGTATTTTGTGAAATCCAGAGGTCAGTTGGGTGAGTGAAGATGTTCCATGTATCAATATTGGTGCTCCATGAGCACAAAGAATTTGAACAAAACACTAAAAGCTCTTAAATTGGCATGGGTTTATTTTCAGAGAACTATTCTAATTACTTTAAGAATTTTAAAAAGCCAGAGATATGGTACTGTGGATGCATTAAAACATGAGGAGCTTTAAGAACACATGGGCAGTGAGGCACCTATCCCAGGAAGGTGTGTTGTGAAAGAACTCATGAGATGACTGAATGTCTGAGCAAGAATTAATACTTCTGTCCTTTTACTTTTTATGGTGTTGGCATTGTCTTTTTCTGTTTTCAGTCTTTCCTGTCCCGGAAATATTTTTTTAATAACCCTGAGGATGGATTTTTTAAGAAAACAAAAAGAAAGGTAGTGCCTCCTTCACCAATGACAGGTATGTTAAGGTACCCTAACTGCAGCCAGGTAGAAAAACTTGTGTCTGCTGAGTGTGGAAAGTGAATCAACTTTGGAGGGAGCGCAGGCAGTGTGAGGAATTATTATCTCTCTCTTGGATAATAAAAATACTAAATTGCTCCATGTTGCTTAACTTCTGCCTTGAGCTCCTTGCAACATCTCAGGAGACCTGACCTCCTCAGGGTAGCCAGGAGTGGGAGTCCTGCTCTTGTCTCTTTTTGCCAGTGTTTTGCTCCAGCTCCTGCAGGGTCTTCTCTAAAGTTATTTAATTTAATTAATGTATACAGCAAGATAGGAGCTTGTTGTCCTTCCTCTACTCAGGTCAGCTCACAGAGGGGTCAGGTAAGTTCAGAGATCTGGGGCAAGGGATAGGGTCAGACACAGAACACAACACCTCTGTGGCAGCAGCTGCTACCACACTGGCTGAGCATCACATATTGCATAGTATTGTCAAAAAAATTGTTCAGTTTCAATGGAAAATTATAGATAATGGGATAGGACTGTTGTCTCATGCAGTTTCTTAATTAAATTAGCTGACATGTAATGACTTGTTTCTCTTTATTGTGATGTGCTGCAACTTCACATCCCGTCTATGATTTACAGATCCTACCATGCTGACAGATATGATGAAAGGGAATGTAACCAATGTTCTGCCTATGATCCTCATTGGTGGTTGGATCAACATGACATTTTCAGGATTTGTCACAAGTAAGTGTCTGCAATAACATGGGTTTGGCTGTGTTTCTGAAGATGACCTTGAGGGTCTGGGCTGCATCAGAGATTTGCTCCACGACCTGAGAACAGTTAGAAGCAGCATAAATTTGCCTTGAGGCACTGCTGCTCTTCACTCCATGAACTGCACAGATTTGCCTGTCCCATTGCAAAGGGGGAAAATTGTTTTCAGAATATTGGCCACGGTCTCAAAGGAAATAGCTCATGTACTTGGGAACAACTGTATTGACAAAACTAGGATTTTACTAAAGCTGCCTAAGCTTCAGGTTGATACAGTGGATTTTCCTCTGAACCTTGTCCAGGGAGTTGGTTACTGTGTAGAGCATACACATCAAAAATACTTACTTAAATTCATAGTTCTGGGTCTTTTTTTTCTATACTATTAATGTGGTAACTGTTTCTTTAACAAGGGACATTCCCTTTCACAGTCACTGAAGTAGTACCTGTGAGGGTTTATTCATCTGATTAAGTTTCAGAAAGTCTTTTTATATTAAAATGAATACAGAACTGCAGCTTTTTAAAAAATCAGTTAACTTTTCATTGTTGTACGTTGCACTCAGACTACATTAGATTAAATAAAAGAACTACCTGCTCACTTTGCCCTATGCTTTGCAGTTGTGCATGTCACTTTGTGAAATTCTGCTTTTTTTTTCCTTTATCCTGCAGCAAAGGTCCCGTTTCCTCTGACGCTGCGTTTTAAGCCAATGTTGCAGCAGGGAATTGAGCTGCTCACTTTAGATGCATCCTGGTAAGCCCCTGTCCTCAGCAAGCAAGGTCCAATTCCCACTTGGAAAATGTTGAATGTGTTAATAGCCCTTGGATGGTCTGTGTGGGCTGCCAGAATGAGGTCACAAGCCAGCTTTGAACCAACAACAACTGTGCTTGTTCTGATTTGTCAGGGTGAGCTCTGCTTCCTGGTACTTCTTGAATGTGTTTGGACTCAGAAGCATTTATACTCTCATCCTGGGCCAAGATAATGGTAAGGCACTTGTCATTTCTGGGAACTGGCTGCCCCTTCCATGGGATGTTGTCTGAGGGAGGCTGGGGAAAAGACTTGTAAGTTTACAGCCAAAAAGTTCCTGAATGCTTCTCTTGTTTCTGTGAGGTTACTTACTGTCCATGGGACAGCTTTGACAACACCTGCAGCCAAGTACCCAAATCTCCTGCACCAGCCACTGGCTCATAAACTTCCACAGTTGTCAGCCCAGGCTTTCTTTCCCGTCAAATCAGTGTGCAAAAGTTTTGTACTCATGTTTATTTCTAGCAAGTATTTTTTTTAAGGAAAACTGCAAAGATTTCTTAATGTTAGATGTGGGGCAGGACAGATGTGCATTGGGAATGTAGAAAACTATTTTCCTCAATTTTTCTGCATACTTTATGTAGATCTGGCTAGGATGGAGCAGGTGGGAGCAAGATGTCTTGTAAGGACTCCTGGCACAGCAGTATTGCATGCTGGCTGTTGCTGCAATGTTCTCATCTATAGATAAAAACCTTCCCAATGGCACCATGCTCCAGGGAATGCTGTTTAATAACACAGAAATCAATCTCTCATTTCTCATTTGTAGCTGCAGATCAGTCCAGGGTGATGCAAGAACAAATGACAGGGGCAGCAATGGCCATGCCAGCAGATACTAACAAAGCATTTAAGGTACAGTATTCCCACCTGCATTCCTATTTGTGTGAGCTTGGAGGGTCATAGGCTGCATGTAACTCACTGTCTCCCTGTATCGAGTAAGGGATTTGCTCTGGATTCCTGTTCCTAAAATTAGAGCTGACAGCTTATGAGGGCTGTGGGAGTTGCTCTGGGTCTGGCAGAGCGCAAATAACCCTGAAGTAAACCTGACAGATAAGTCATTGCTGGTACAAAAGCTGAATTTATGTCCCATCCTCTGCTTTTGCTAAGGAAGGGTTTTGTTTTTTTAACCTTGAGGTATAAATCCAAAGCAGAAGCCGGCTCTCTAAAAGTTGTTTCAATAGTGCAGCTGAGTGTGAGTCCAGCAGGCACCTGATGGAACTTGGGTAAGAAAAGCCAGTCAGTTCAGTGGAAAATCCATCAGGATTTTACTGTCTTGAAGTTCTCCTAAAGCACTTTCCATAGGCACTTGCTTGTTACACTGCCTCTGCCTTTCACAGGCAGTTTATGCCCAGGTTTATGCACGAAGGACAGACCTGCTTTCTTGGTTTTGTGGACTGTAGAAGAGGTTTAGCCACACATAACCTGCTGCCTGGGAAGTTGGGGTGGTCTGTTCCTGCAGTTTTGTTTTCAGTAACCTTCCTGGTTAAAAAATCCCACACCTCCCAGGCAGAGGCTCAGCCAGGGAAGGGATGGCTGCAGTTGGCAGTGGTGCTGGAGCAGTGGTTGTTCTGTCACACTCAGCACTGAGGTGCAATTCCTGCCAGTACTGACTCCGCTTCCACCCAGTCCTGGCTTTCCACAGCACTTCTGCCCATTCACCCTCACAGGGACCAAAACCCACTACATGTTCCAGCAGAAACAAAAGGGAAAAAGCTCCATTGCAGAGGAAGTGTTCTGGCCAAGAAATACAAATATCTTGCTGGGCATCATGTGACATGGATTTTTTTGCAAGCTTTGTGCACAAGTCTGTGATCAGGTGCAAAATTTTTGGCCCCTTACCTGTTGTTATCAGGTAACTCTGAACTAAAGAATTAACTCACTGCAAAGCACTTGACCCACCAGAACAGGCTGTTATAGAAGAAATGGACTGTTCCAGAAGGTTAGAGGGTTGGCAGAAAGCAGATAACATCATTTTTCTAATTTCTGTAATGCAGTTTGTATTGATCAACTAACATCTAATTAAGCATAAAGCACTGATTTCAGAGTTGACAGGATTGCCAGGTTTTTAATAGAAATCACTGTTTGTTGCCATTTTTAAAAGCAAGCACTGTTTTGTGTAGTTCTTGTCTAACTAATCCTATGTTGCTTTTCCTTCTCTACTTTTGTTCACTGCCAATGCAGACGGAATGGGAAGCCTTAGAATTGACAGATCATCAGTGGGCCTTAGAAGATGTAGAGGAAGAGCTCATGGCAAAAGACCTCCATTTTGAAGGCATGTTTAAGGAAGAACTTCAGACCTCCATCTTCTGAGTTTGAGAGTACGCTTTTGTCTCTTCTTGTAAAAGTTATTTGAAAAGAATTCTGTTATCTAAAATTATATAAGGTATTTTAGCAAGGCTGAGAATAAAAGAAAAACATCATGTTCAGAACTGCAGTGCCCTCACTTTGTATTGAGCCCAAAGACAAACATAAACACTATTTCCCCATCAATTTAATCCTTCCCAAGTCTATTTGTAAGCACCTGAGTGCCCACACAGCCCTTCCTGCCTGTGAGCAGGGTGTTCCCAAAGACTGCCTGGCTGTTACTTACTGGTCCTGGTGGGAATAAAAAATGCTTTAAGCTGCCCACCTTGCACTGTAGAGAACACAGAGCAACTGTTCCTGGCTTATCCCTCTGCAGGAACTCCTCAGACCTCTTCCCCAGGGAGAACAGTCCCAGCCTGGAGAAATGCTTTGTAAAAAGAAGCTCTTCAATACTCTGGCTATTATTTTTTTCCCCCTTTCTTTATTCTGAGCACCTTTTTCTCAGGGTGAAACTCTAAATCCTCTTCAAAGCAGGAGCTGAGCCAGGACTGATTTTCTGTTCTCACCAAATCATTCCAGTGAACAGGGAAGCTGCCCCTTTGCTTTCGCTTCTTCCCAGGATAGGTTTCACACCATGTTTTGGAGGTCAGCCCTTTACAGCAAAGCTCAGCAGCTGCTGTTCTACATTAAGGCTCATTAACCCTCAGGAGTTCCAGCTGAAAACAAGCTCCTCTTGCTCTTACACTGTAATTTTGGCATGAAGACTTCAAATCTCACAAGGATTTCAGAGCCCACCTTGGCCTGCAGGACTGTGACAATCCCACACATAATCCCATTGCACTTCCTCAGCTTTTTCCAGCCTGCTCTCACAAGTGTGTTCAGGTTGCCTTGAGGAGGAAATTCCAGAGACTGCAGGACAACTACCTCAGTGGTACAGTCACAGGCAGCCCTGATACCCCTGCAGAAAACGGACAGAAGGAAGACCAGGACCTCTTAGGGATCTGCAGAGGAAGGATGAAACCATAGCTGAGGCTGTCCAATGCCTCAAAAAAGCAAGGACAGCTTTGCTAGAGCACCAGGTACCAGCAACCCAGCACTGCAGGGAGAAAAGGCAACCCTAGAGCAATTTGAACCCTCAGTTGTGCAGAGCTGTGCCCTCAACAGCTGATTTTCTCCAGATCCCCACTGGCTCTGCAGGACCCACCCTCCCCCAGCCCAAATTACTCCTAGAGCAGGCATCCCCACAACCAGCAGTCTTAGACCACATAATGAAAGCTGAAATTAGAACAGAATCCAGTTTCAGTGCAAACCACTCTTTAATTTTCCTCTTTGTACAACAGAGCCAGCCACTTACAAAGTGCTAGTCTAAAAAACAGTCTGGTATTACAGCACACACACACCAGCCAAAGCCCAGCAGCTCAGGGGCAGAGAAAGCAGAGCTGGGCCACTTGTTCTGCAGTACAACAGTCTGTTCAGCATCTGAGACTGAGCCCCACGGATGCATTTCTCAGTGTCAGCACAGGTAGGGAGGCAAGGAGGAGAACAATGGCTATTTCAGATTGATTTCTCTTTTAGAAAGGTCTTTACTGTCCTCCTTTTCCTCTATTCCCCATTTTGGAATGCCCACATGACTTACTTTCAGGGTAAAACAAACAAAAAAATGCTGATTAGAGTAATTTCAGTGCAGTGCTACATCTTAAAAATTGCTTTTTGCATGCTTCCCTCGGTAATAAGGAAAAAAAAATACAATATTAAGAGTTGCAAATGTAAAAATGAAACAGCAGAAGCAACTAAGCAATTGTGATCTCAAAAATTCAAATTTTAATGCTTCAAAAGCGAAATTCCACAAAGGAGAATCACATCAGTAGCATGCTGGCTAGAGACAATGCCCCCTCCTCCCCATTGCTCTGCAGTGCCCTGGCAAAGGGCTGCCTGGTGCTGCCCTCCCAGGGTGCAGGGACAGGCACACTGCAATTTCCTACAGGGACTGTTGCCAGGAGCTGCAGAAAGGTGGGGCTGAGCTGGCAAGTATGGAGTTAAATGGATGAACACTGCTGACCACCACAAGAGAAGGTAATGGTCAGCACTGAAGCTACAGCAGCTGCAAGCACATATTCCAGGGGGAACAAAAAGCACACTGATAGCCAATCTCAGCCTTTCATTCTGCCAACATACTTGGATCCAAGAAGGAAAACCCCTCCTGTTTGGTTTACTGCCTTGAGCTAGATCTTTCCCTAAAAAATACAGGCTAAGGTTCTGGAGTTTTTTCTCATTTTTCACATGGAAGACCAGTTCTCCACTGAGACTCCCAAGAGTCTCTTTTCAAAAAAGCTCGACTGGAGTCCAAAAAAGCAACACGCAGTAAAAGGAGAACAGAGGGAAAAGCATTTGCCAGTTGTGACAAAAGGATGGAGCAGAACCATTGAACAGCAGAGGCAAACAGGATTTGGGACAGGACTATCAGCTGCAGCCCCACAGAGGGTGATCGGGTGAGGATATAAAAGGCAGCACTCAGTGGAGGAATGCTGAAAGAGCAGTCCAAAAAACTGAAGTTGCAGGAGGAAAGGCTGAAAACTCACACAATCCATCGCATTGGGCTGTCACCCATACAGGTGACAGCTCTGGGAAAACAGTGCTGAGCTTAGCTGGAGACATAAATGAGCAAAATGGATACAAATGCTGTCACTGCACAAACCAGAGGAAAAATGCTGGCAGCAGCAAAGTGCTTACAGAGCAGCCTGGAAGTGAGAGGTGTTGGAGATGGAAAAGGTAAGAAATCATCAATGTTATGGATGGTATTTTCTCTGCAGAAGAACAGGAGTCAGAGCAGCTGTATCCTGCATCTCCATGGGGATCAGCCTGCACATATGCCACACCATAGGCAGGTATGATTCACTTCTGGCTAAAATTCTTGGATCACTGGATTCAGTGTTCACATGAAAAATGCCCAGTCAAAACTGCCCAGGAGACCCTCAAATGCATCTAAGGATGCAAGCAAGAGAAATGTTTGTTGCTTTGCCAAGGGACCTGGGTACAATGGCAGAGACTGCAACAGACCAGATGTACAAAAATTTGAACTGAGCTCCAGAGAGGGTGCAGGAGGTCTCCCTGCCACAGGCAGGGCCCAACAGCAACACCAGAGTTGGCAGGAAGCCCCAATGCCGATTCACAGAATCGTACCCGCCGTTCTCCTCCACGGGCCCCTGCAAGGCTCAGCTGTGCCTGGCCTCCAGCTCAGGCTGTCCTCTCCCAACCCCAGCTACAACCCTCAGCCCAAGAACCACAGCCCCAACCCCTGCCTCTAGCCACACAGCTCAGCCAGATTTTAAAAAGAACTTTATTGAAGCTCCAATATATATTATTTTTGGCCTCTAAATACCCAAGTGTCAGCACCTATTCCTGGCTCTTCAGTGCTATTCTGCAACCCCCAGCACTGATTTCAGTGCTTGATTTTCTGCTTGACCCCTACAGAAGGAAGAAAAATTTTCAGGCGCCTCAGGCATTGCTTTACAAGAGCAACCACTACCATGGTGGCTGTGCGCTGGAGGTGGTGCTTAGTTGGTGTCCATGCCATCACACTCTTCTGGGGGAGCAGAGGGGGCAGAATGTTCCTCGCTGTTTCGGCGCTGATAGAAAAGCACATACGCGGCTTTTGTCTACCAAACAAAAAGAAAACCCATCTGAAACCATCCGCACAGCTTGGCTGCAATGTCACACCCAAAGCAGGCAGCCACACTCTCAGCACAGACCTGGAACAGCCTCGAGCCAAATACTCACCACTATTTGGTCTTCTGAAGCCACTGAGACACTGCTGTCGTCAAAGTAGTACCACTTGTCGTTCACCTTGTTCTTCGCATAGGCAGCGTCTGTTGGGGGGAGAATCAGCATTCCAGGGATGGCCAGCAGGGAATGCACACCTGGGACACTGGGACCCCAAACACGGGTGCACGGGAGGCCAGGAGCCAGCTTTGGCATTGCCTAGCTCAAGCCTAGTTAACCAGCAAAAACATCTACAATGTTTCCGTTAGTCTAGGACCAGGTTCCACATACCAGGCTTATCCCTGACAACTGAGATACAGAGAAAAGAAACTCAAGGGAAAAACAATAGTTTTCCAGTTGTTCACTGGCCTTGAGTCAGAGCTTTCCCAAACACACACAACTTAATACTCTGCATTTTCACTTGAAAGAAAAGTTTTCTGCTGTTAATGGATCTGATCTGGTTCTCGCAAGAATCCTCACTCAAGAATGAAGTTAGAAATCCCTCAATGTCTCTTCCAGCCAAGACTTCTGTGACTCATCTCCAGCCTCAGAACATGTGCCCCTTCAGCTACAGGAGCTCATCATCCTCTCATGGTAAATTGCTTCTGGGTGGTTTTACAAGTGTCATCTACAGCATAGATCTGCTGCATGGACACCTGATACAGGTAACTCACCTACAGACACTTTTCATCTATGCTGCAGCAAAACCAGTGACAGAAAACAGACTCATCATGTACTAAACTTGTACTAAACAAGTGCATTTTTTTCTCGATGAAATGACATTTTCCTATGTCAGTCCTTATCAGTGCAAAGGTGGAAACATACTACTGTCAGCAAGTGTCACAATTTCAGATTCAGCACTGAAAAATTTTGACTCCACTCATAAATTGAGGAACACTAGCACACAAACTAAGGACAACTAACCAGCATCCCACATGCATCAGGTCAGACCTCAGGCCAAGGTGCTGCTAACTATCTGCCCTCCATATCCTAACAGGATCCCAGTATGATACTCGCCTGCTCACAGAACACAGGTAACTTTTGGACTAGACACCTTAGGTGAGGGCTACTGCAGGTGTTCCAGGGCAGAGCCCTCCCATGTCCCCTCTGTCCTCATTTCCTTGCACACAAATGACACAGCAGCAGTTACTCACAGTGGCCCACTCCCATGGCTCCATAGTGATTGGAAACTGCAATGAGGTCATACACATATGAGCCTGCTCTTGGGTCGCAGACAAACTCGGACATGTTCAAACCCCTGGAAGGAAACACAAAAGTATCAGTACACCATCAACCATCACTTTTTAGGAACTGAAGCATGGCACCAGTGCTGTTCTGCTGCTCAGGGGCCAGGTGTTGTTAGTGT